TTCTACAACCGGACGACGATGCATAACCGAGTTACGATGACTCGTCGCCTCCACGAGTTCAAGATGGAGGAGAGCTCGACGATGGCTCAGCACCTGGACAGGTTCGACGAGCTCATCGTGGGACTGCAAACGCTTGGTGAGCCGCTGGATGAGAGCCGACAACTCGTCATCCTAATCAGCAGTCTGCCTGCTGAGTACGAGCTGATCGCATCTATCGTGGAGAATACACGAGACGTGACACTGATCGAGGTCAAGGAGAAGCTGCTCAAGGAATGCGAGCGGCAGGAGAAGAAAGAAGCGACGAAACGCGCACTGAGGGCCTCATTCCGAGGGAGAGGCAACAACGGAAGACTCGGCAGCCGTGATCGAGGCCTCGGTGGCCCCAGAGGCAACGGTGGACGAGGACTCGGCGGCTCCAGGAGCAACGGCGGGCGAGGGCTCGCTGGTTAAAGGGCAAGTGCTTCAACTGTGGACGCGTGGGTCACATGAAGCGGGACTGTCCTGATGGGACAAACGGTGACACCAACGAGGACTCGGTGTTCACTGTTATGGTCGACACTGACACCAACGAGAACTCGGTGGTCACTGGTATGGATGGCGGCACGGTCACTGATGTCAAAAACGACGTCAACGAGGACTCGGTGTTCGCTGTTGGGAAGAATCGGTCGGCCGGGTGGCTGATCGACAGTGGAGCGACTGCTCACATGACGCCGTACCGTGATGACATGTTCGAGTATCAGGACATGTCGGTGGGCATGTATGTTACCGTCGCGGTTGGGAAGAAGATTCGGGTGGCTGGAACTGGCTCGGTGCAGCTGACAGGCATCGACGACAAGCGCATCAAGATGGTGGATGTCCCTCACATACCCGACCTCGATCGACGACTACTCCTCGGTCGGCAAGCTGGCCGAACGAGGCATGAACGTCGAGTTCCAGCGCAAGTCGTGCGTCATCTGGAATAAGGCGAGGGCGATCGCCTCGGGGAAGAAAAGTGGTAAAGCATACGTGTTGGACTGCGAGCAAGACGCGGCCTACTACACCGAGTACTCAGACGTCGGTGGTGAGTGGGAGCTTTGGCACGCTCGTATGGGACACTTGAACGAGGACTCGCTCATGAAGACCCAACAGGCCACTACTGGGGTTCCAACGAGGGCCCGGCAGGGGGCCAAGAAGCTGTGTGGTGGCTGTATGAAGGGCAAGCAGACGGTGGCGAGGTTTCCATCCCAGTCGCTAACGAGGGCTCGGTGGCCACTTGAACTGGTTCATACTGATGTAATGGGACCTATGAAGACGAAGTCGAAAGGTGGCGCGAGGTATGTGCTGACCTTTGTGGACGACTACTCGCGGTACGTCGTGGCGTACTTTCTGACCAAGAAAAACGAGGTCTCGTCCAAGTTCGAGTCATTACTGAAGATGTACCAGAATCAATGGGGAAAGCACATGAAGTGCCTGCGCTCGGACAACGGCAGAGAGTTCGTGAACAAGGCCATGGACAAAATCTGTCAGCAGAACGGGATCGTGCACCAGAAGACCGTCCCGTACAGCCCTCAACAGAATGGCGTGGCTGAAAGAATGAACCGCACGATCATGGAGAAGGCTCGGAGCATGCTTCACTACACGGGTGTGTCGGCAGAGGAGGTGGACAGAGGCAGTAAGTACTGCAGTGTACTTGACGAATCGGTCGACAAACAGCATGCATCCAACAAGGACTCCGTATGAATCGGTGTACCAGACAAAGCCTCGTTTGGATCACCTGCGAATGTTCGGGTCGATTGGATTTGCCCACGTGGACAAGTCGAACGTACCAAGTTGGACCCAAAGAGCTTCAAGTGCATCTTTCTTGGGTACGCCGACGACTCGAAGGGTTACCGAGTGTTCGACTTGGAGTCCAAGAAGGTGAAGATGTCCAGATCGGTGAGGCTGGACGAACGCGAGGTGAACGGAATATACGACACAAGACCCAACGAGGACTCGGTGACGGTACAAGTGTCGAAGGATGATGACGTTGCGGCTATACCAGAGCTCAACGAGCGATCGGTGGAAGATGAACCGATGGAAGCATCGGTGGAGCATGTCGAAGACGCGAACAAGCAGGAGGTGGAGCAACCGGAACCAGTACAAGAGCTGACCACCTACCGAGGGCTCGGTAGACCCATGAGCGAGAGCATGGTCTTCAACCCGGAGCCAAGCCGTGCCCAGCGTGCACGAGAACCTGTCCAACTACTCACAGAGGACTCAACGAACGACGAAGAGTCCAAGGTGAACGGTGATGATGACCCAGACAATGACGACCATTTCTGTCCACCGTCTCCTAAGCGACCGAGGGTCGACGAGGACTGCCTACTGGCTGAGGCTGTGCTGGCTTATACAGCGAGCGTTGGTGATGCCAACGACGCGCCCACGACATATCAACAGGCTATGCAGAGCAGCGAGGCCTCGCAGTGGGCCAAAGCCATGAACACGGAGTTGAAGGCACATGCAGAAAACGGGTCGTGGACACTAGTCCGACGGTCAACGAACGCTCGTCCGATCGGATGTCG